CACGCACGACATGAGCATGTATTATGCCACACTTCTGTCACGACACGCACGACATAAGCATGTATTATGCCACACTTCTGTTAAGGTCATTTGGCACTCTATATTCTGCACAAAAATCGATGAACGAACCACGTCAGTCACCACAGTGGACGATGCGCGTCTGGCAGCGCACCACACATGGATGAGAGGAGAGACATATAAGAATACACACGCAGACACAAAGGCGGCAGAAAGCACAGCTCGATCACATTGACAGACAGAAAAGGCATGTCTGCATAGACAGTTGCGTCGGTCAGTCTGCAATTCACTGCCTTGCTCCAGCGGCTCCCCCAACCGGTCGACGCATGACGGCCCGCTGCGATGATGGGCTTCTGTAGTCCTCATTGCGAAAAAGATGTAATGGAAGGACCACTGCATCGATCAATGAGGGAGGCAAATACACACGCACACACAGAGATGGGCACATGCAACTGAGGAGAGGGTACCGGAAGGACAGGCGAGAAATCATATACACACACTCCAAGCCCAAACGTGCATGCACAGGTGTGCGCACAGAGTTGTTCATCATACAGCAGGATAAAAGTTCAAACGCCAGTCTCTGAGGCCTGTTACGCAGTCCATTCTGGAATGCCAGGGCCTGCAAAACTCCGTTGAATTTGCGAATGATCCTGTACATCATGCTGTGTTTATAGCAGGATAAAAGCTTAAACGCCAGTCTCTGAGGCGTATTACGGAGTCCATTCTCTCTGTGCGTGTGTGCGTACTGTCACATCGTCGTTGTCTCAACCCAAAGTTGTAAAACACGGGGTCTCGTCTTTTCACAATCCAAGCTCTGTCCGTTGATGTTAAGTTCATGAGGAATTCAAAGCCGAGACTGTGTCCTCCATTGGCACCGGAAGCAAGGGTATCGGTACCTGGTGAAGCCAGATATAGTGGCAAACCCTTTTCCTGCCTCTTTACCTATGTGAAGGTTGCGTCTGGGCTGTTAACACCGAAGACACGAATATCCACGTAGTACTTGATCTGTGTGCGAACGTGATAGACCGCATTGGTCGCTTCCCCTGAAGTCAAAACAGAACAAACATGTAGCAGTCAACGAGTATTTGAGCTCACCGTAATGGCTGCCTACGCGGGGATGAACTCCTATTGTGGCATATGATTCGTTGACTTGCTTACGTGCTGAGTCTTTTTCGACTCGAACGCCCTCCCCAAGGTGGATTCGTTGTCCATGGAGGTCAAGGATGAAACCAAGATCCGATGGTGTCACAATCTCATGATCGTCAGACGCGACCTGGTATTTGAGCTTGTCGCCGTCGACGAACATACGCATCTCGACTGGTGGCACATAGGGCACCGAGGGGGCGAGCATTGTAGTGTCGAACACGTAATTGAGGCGAAAGAAAGAGTTCGCACGCATGTATCAGTTTTTTATCGCATAGACGGACTGCATTCTCAGAACTCCGCGTCTGTGGGCAGGTAGATGGACAGACAACATTCGGCCTCACGTTCACATGGGTGAGAAGCTTTATTTATATGAGTTATCCATGTTTTATATAATATGCCGTCCGCAAGTCGACGCGTGCGTGTGCAGAAATGCGCCTGCAGTTGGTTCGTGTGTGCAATGAATATGTTTATGCTGCGCACGTCTGTAGTTGGCGGGTGTGTGTAATGAATGGTTTTGTCCGCACGCTTGCACTTGTATTGGCTGGTGTGTGCGATGAATGTATTTCTTCGCCTGTACACGCTTGTAGTTGGCGGGTATGTACAATGAATGTCCCTGTGCGCACGCCTGCGCAAGCCTATAGTTGGTTGGCGTGTGCAGTGAAAAACCCCCCTCAGATTTCGGAAGAACTACAGTGAAGCGCTGAATCTTCGAAGAAATATCCGCAATGCACATCCAGGCATCCAAGAAATATAGCGATGGCCAAGGCTGAGAGACAGACTTAAGGCCAAACTGAAGACTTCGATATAGGCGCTGCCCAATACACACAAGAAAGAAGCGAGACGAAAGCATAAGCTCGAAGCAGCCAAACTTCCAGGGTGGTAAGCCCACAGTTTTTTGGTACAGAGGGACGAATGAAAGTGGGAGCACGATACAGCTTACAGCTGCATTTTCCTTCTTGAGATCTAGAGGTGTAGCGATAGGATTTGGCAAGGCAGAAAGTCAGCCAAAGATCGAAGGGTGTAATCCCAGAACCCACAGGCATAGCGGCGCAGGTCCGAAGGCAATGGCACAGCGGCCTAAGTTCGAAGACTGCAAGCCCAGAACCCAATGGTACAGAGGGATAAATGCTAGAGACTATAATATGCCTCTACTGTCCTTCCGGGGATTTGGGGGAAGGGGAGTGGGGAAGGGGAGCGAGGGGTAAAGTGGAGAGGAGGTGTAATGAACGAAGGAGGTCCTGTGATGACCCTGTAGCCCTGTGGCGTAGCATTCATGGTCATATATATTCATGTATATATTGAAATATCCCTGTATATGCCATATTCACCATCCATTGCTTGATATTCTAGTGCACACGTTGTCCTTACTCAGTGGAACACTTCCATAGGACTGCACCGGGACCATTTCTCGGATTTGCTGAGCCCGCCATTGTATGGGAAGCGAGAATTCGAGTCGTCTGGAGGTCCAATTACGATCGATCGAAAGACGCTGCTGCTGCTCAGACGCAGATGGTCCTGTTAAAAGGAGAACGAACGGACGAATGCAGATCCATTTTGCCATCAGTAAGAATTCGAAACGAGAGCGGGGGGATAATGTCGATGACCGTTCTAGTCAGGACGATGCTGCGCCTCAAGTCAAGGACCCCGGGGGAGCGATTCACGCGCAGAGCGAATGGCCTCACCGCCTCACACAATGTCCCAGGTCCACACGCGGGTCCCCGGTAATTTGTGACCGCTCCGGCTACCAATGAGCTACAGCAGCAGCAGTTTCACGCAATGCCCTATGCAGCCCGACGGCCTGGTCCCATGTTAGCAAAACACGCAACATGCAACATGCAACATGGAACATGCAACACGCAACATGCAAGGGGCAGAAGCAGGCAGGCAGATCTGGAAAGGCGCTGCGGGAGACGGCAACATATAGGTGCCGCTTTGCGATCGACTTCGCTCATATGACTCACCTAGCTCTTGGACGCCTGAAGAGACATCATGGCGAGGTTCTTGCGCTTTGTCCCTGCCAGTCTTCGGGTCTTGGCTCCTGCGGCTACAACAACAGCACAGAGCCTGCTAAGTGGCATCGGATGGCGAAGAAGCGACTATGCCACGCCCTGAATGTGTCAACCAACGGCGTTCGTCTCCATACCCCGCGACCAGCTCGCCAGGTGCATGAGGCGGGCCCCTAATGAGTCGGCGGGCGAAGAAGGGGGAAAAGAGAGAGTCCGACTGCAAGAATGGAGTCAGATGATGCACGAGAAGAAGGGAGAGAAGAGGAGAGATGAGCATACCTTTCGAGCTGTCAAAGAGCCTCGTGCGCCACGAGAGGGCGTCATCAAGAAGACTACCCAGGCGACGAACCCCAACGACTACACTCTTGGCCGTGCCAAGGGGACAGTGATCAGCAGCCTCAAGCGGAAAATATTTGTAGATGCCTTGGAGGAATCAAGTCGCCGTAAGTACAACGCCCTGAAGCAGCTGGATCCGACGCACGAGTTCGTGCAACGTACCGATAAATTCATGGAGAACAAATGTCGGACTGCGCAGTGCAGCAAGAATAGCGAAATCACTGACCGCACGAAGAAGGCTTTGATAGCTTTCACAGAAGCAAGGGCGACCAGAACGTCTGATCTAGAGTCTGCAATGTACGCATACACTGACAGAGAAGCATGATAGGAGAAACACAATCGCAAAAGCACGAGCGCACTCTACGGCATGAGTGATAGCAGCATACGACAAACCAGACACGGACTAACTGGCTGATCATACATCACCATATACACGACTGGCAGCTCAAACACAACCACACACACTATGCCGCCCAAACACAACCCACAACATCCACACTCCCACGACGCGTCCAAAACACACCGCTCACGGCCGCTCCTGGCATGCAAACGTGCGCGTCTGTGCCCCGCCCGCTGCGGTATCCGGGCATCGGCCGTGCGATGCGTGCGGCAGGACACTTGAAAAGCATTCCATCACATCAACGCCACCGACAAACACTGCCCCCCGTGATTCATGACACCCTCATGAAAAAACGCCCGATCTTCGGCAGAGCTGGCGGTTGGTGGGACACGGCGCTGCGCCAGGCGGCGGAGTAAGGCAAGCATCTGTGCACCCTAGCAGCCGAACGTCTCCGGCGCCAAAAGCACGAACGTGTAGCCTTTCTGCCGACAGTTGTTACCGTATTTGCGGTCCTTGTCGCGCTCTGCCCCCGCAGCCGCAGTGCCGCCCGGCTGCCGTGCGTGGCTGCGGTTGACTTGGGTGTGGTGAGGGGTGGAGCTCTCGGGCCGACAAGGGTGGACCACTGTGACATCGCACAGGCCGCCCTCGCCGTCGACAGTAAAGAAGAGGTCCATGCGCTGACTGTTGGGCTCGGCGTTGGGCGGGACGATGTCGAGAGAGCGCAGGGGCACTTCCGTAGCAGCCGTAATGCCCACCTCCACAAAGATAGCGTTGAATATATCGAGCAGAGTGTTGTGCTTAAACACGCGCTCCGCCGTCGCGCGGCTGTAGAGGAAAAAGTGGTCTCTGAGGGCGTCGATGGCCACGCCGCAAGGGCAAGAGGACGCCAGGTTGGCGAGAGGGAAGGTGAGGCCGAAGGTGAGAGCGGTCGCGAGGCGGTAAGAGTAGTTGTTCAGGCACTTGCGCTTGTCACCTCGGGTGTAGGCGAGGATAGCTGATAGCCAGCCCGACGACAGAGGCCCCAGGCAGGTGAGAAAGCGGCATCGGTCACGACTGCCAGCCGGAAAGGACTCGAACAGGGTGTTGAAGTCCTTCTCTGAGAGGGCCTCCGAGAGCTTCTGCTACAGTCGGGCTTGCGGGCGGGTGATGAGCTGCTGGATGGGAGGGATGGCGACAGAGGGGAGAGATGCAGAGAAGCCGGTGCGGGCGGATGCTGCTGGGACGAGCCATTCCAGCTGGAGAAGAGAGGCTTCTGACTCGGGCATCCAGGGTTGCCCATGAAAATGGTCCCACACATCCTCCACAGTGACAGCTACCGATCCCAGATAAGCAGCCGGTGCGACGCGGGCAGACGACATCAGCTCGAAGTCCCCCAGCCGAATAGAGAGCTGCACCTGCCGGTGTGCGGGACTAGACAAGGCGCCCGTGCGGTGGATTCGGGTGAAGGCCGTGATCTTCGCAGCATCGTGTACACGGGCGGCTGCCAAGAGGGAAGACGAGGGGGCAAGAAGGCGACACCAGTAGATGAAGTGCGGAGACCCGCAATAGCGAAGCAGCAGGTTCGCCCCCTGCACGCGTCTTCCCAATCGTCGACAGCAAAGGCCACCACGGCGTCGAGAAGGCGCTGGTGGCTGGCGACGACCTCGTTGATGGTGCGCTCGACGAAAGCCGGAGTGCCGATGGGGGCGGAGAGGAGGATAATCCTTCGGTAGACGCGCGCACACCTCGACTAATGATGGCGGTCGGCAGGTCGACGGGTGAGCGCCAATGCTGGGACCAAGCATGGCACTTGTCGAGCCGCAGCACCAGACACGAAGAAGGCTCATGAAGACGCCCAGGCAGTCGCATCCGACAATGCCGGGGGTGCAAGGCAAGACCATCACCAGTACGTCGCTGCATGGAAGACTGCAACTAGCTTCCTGACGACGTCGGGGCATTCAAGCTCCTCAAAGAATACCCAGCATATTACGAACGGGCTGTCAAGGACCTCAGAGAGCAACACCTTCAGGTCATTGACTCGAACATCCCCAAGGCTGGCCGAGGCCTTATATCTCTTTTACCACTACGCGCATGTGACTCATTCCGAGGCATTAAGGGCGTTCTTCTGCCTGGCAACTTGAGCAGCTGGGTTATCTATGAGAAATGTCTTGAGCATCTGAAACGGGACCACAAGGAGCGATGGGGCCAGCCGACGACGTCGTAACGCCTTTGTAAGGCCGACGTAAAGATCACGCAACACAGCGTCACTGATGGGACCCATATTTGAAATAAGAGTGCGATGACCAGCATAGCTAAGCAAGGCTGCAAAGCGAGCATACATGTTGTGATGCTGTCGGTACACGTACGTGTGATCTGCCTGCATATTCCTGAACTGGTTGGTCGATGTGTATGCTGCCTGGGCCTCCAAAAGGGCCTTTTGTGCCAAAGGCCCACAATGGCCATTCCACACACGACACAAAAACCCAAGCTACCTGCGACGCGCTTCGTACGTGACAGAGAAGCGGCCGGCATCACTCAACAAAGCATCATTGCTGACACGAGACGACGCACGCATGGCATGGAGCAAGAAACGACGATGCAGTTTGTCTAACTCCCGGCATGGCATGCCCGCCCAAAACTCGCAGCCATACAGATAGACAGACGACACAGTCGCATCATAGACAAGGAAGAGGGTAGAGGGGTCGAGACGAGGCAGGTGTTGGAGGTGATGAAGGAAGATGCGCAGTGCAGTCGCTCCCTTACCACTCATCACCTGCAAATGATACGGGGGGGAAACTGTCATTAACCGTAACACTCGTCTGTGTGTCCGTGATACTCATACAAATACAGTCCCATCAGCACGCAGAGTCAAACAGGCTCAAGGGGAGGAGGGATCAATCCCCGCCCCATCAGCACACCCCAGTCCCGCAAACCCCCCCCTCCCTCCCCCACGCAGACAGAAGCTAGTCGCATGCGCGAGGGCGATAGACAAGCGAGAGCGAATCCATCCAGACACATGACTGAACCCCCGACCCTTCCACCCCTCCTTCTCCAACAGCGCATGAGCCATGTGAGCG